AGAAAATCTCAAACAGCACTTAGAGACTTTTGAATCTGAACTCTTCATGTATACATTTAATATATATTTAAAAATTTAAAAAATGGCCAAAAATATATTTGCTGAAATATGTTATAAAATATATTTACATAAATATATTTTCATAATATTTTGATATATATATTTGTATTTTATTATATTTATTATTACATAATAAATATATTTTCATAATATTTACAAAACATATTTATATAAATATATTTTCTATCTTTTCAATAAATATATATTTTTCTTTCTATATATATAAAATTAAAAAATATATTTCGACCTCTATATTTATTAAACTTCAGAAAGGAACAATAATGCAATATATAAAATTATTAAACATCCTTAAATCATTATAAATCTACTTTTGATTTCTAGCGGGCCAACTGCTTTTTTTCCCCTTTTTTTTAATGCAGGCTACTGAAATGTATTTTCTTGTCCCTGAAATACATTTAGGAATATATAATGGTGTGTGTGTGTGTGTGTGTGTGTGTGCACATATTGTCATATGAGAAATTACATTATTTATAGAATAAAAAAGAAAAAAAACTGAACAAAAGTTGTTGGGTGAATTAACAGTGCTTGCTGGGGTTATTTTCTGTGTTAACTGTCCCTCCTCAAAGACCCGCCCTCCTTAGTTACTGTTGCTATGTCTGACAAGCCATGCTGCTCTCACACTAGACACCATGTTCTCACGCAGTGAAAAGTACATCGCAGAGCAAAGAGGAAACTGACAACACGCCGACAGACAAGAGAGGTTACTTCTGATATGAAGCGAAACTTTCAAATTTGGTAACTTTTTAAGAAATGTAAACAATAAATACCATTTTGTGGCTCTTTAATGTATGGTGACAGATCGCTGTATTGCCTCAGTTCAAGCAGCACATTAAATAAACATTAATGAACATCAGGAGGTATTTAATTTAAACTGCGGAAAGACGTCAATACACAATTTTTCAAGTGTAAGTCCACCGAAGTGAATCTACTCTCCTGTCTGATTTGTTTGTCAGACAAAATGGCAGATTCTGCATTATTATTGGTCAAATCGCCTGTCAATCAAGCTCTCTGTGAGGGTTAATTGGCATCATTGCAAAAATGCTGTTGTTTACAGAAACTAAATTATCCAGAATATTGCTTGAACATTAAAGTCACACTTTCTCCATCATATCAGCCCTGCGAGAAGAGCTGCATTGTGGGAAGTGTAGTGTGTGTGTGTTTAGCTGAAGTCTCACAGCTCTTCCTGTGGCTCTGGTTGAACTTCCTGTTTGGTAAGTAACTGCTGCAGACATCTCATGTTTAACACAAGCAAAAAGACCTACTAGTAATATTTTGATAAAGCTAAATGTTAGTATTAGCATCTCGGTGGCAGCTGCTTTTAGGAGCCTCCGTTATATGTTGCTTGCAAGGATTTATCAGAATAAACAACTACTTTTGAATGTCAATAAATGGAGAAAGATGCTCTTTTGACAGCAGATCAGTGCAGTTACAGCATCTACCAGCAGAAGTGAACAGATCAAACTAACCACACAAACCTTGAGCTCAACATCCAACAAGAAGAAGCTATATATTAATACATGGACAGACATACAACAATAAAATAAAATGAATATCAAAATACACTTGCAATCCAGAATAGCATGGTTTAATTTGTCCATTAAGCTGCAGATTGCAAGTAACTCATGAGACTCAACTTCAGAAATTAATACATTTAAATGTATTAATCCATATTTGTGCGTATCAGCTGCAAACATACAAAGAATAATTATAACAATAATAAACATAATACAAAAATATTGAGTAAAGCCAACAAAATGAACTCAATTATGACTGATTTCAAGTAAAATAATGAAAATTATGAGAAGATGATTTCTCTTGGTTCTCAACATGCTCATAAATGCATTATATTAATGTTGCTGGCAAAATCATGCACCCTGATGCCAAACTGTACATATTTAGTATCATATTATATGTGATGCTATATTATATTAATTAAATTGAACTGGTTTGTGTTGTGGAGTTGATGAAGAGATGCTCGAGTCTCACTGACGGGTCTGTAGAGTCACATATGACACAAGTTTAGGAAACACAGCTGTAAACTACAGTTGTTTCTGTGTCTCTGTCGTTATGACGTCCAGCGTCTTTGATCTACAGTCATAAAAAATAAGAATTAGTTAATTAACAGAGAAAACAACTCAACCAAAGTGAATGAGTTTAATGTTATAACACACAAATATGATCAATCACACACCAGCTGCTGGAGATTCAGCATCAAAATACTGTAAATCACTGCAGTCGCAGTCTTTTTCATCATCACCATCAAAATGCTGAGCAAGAGATGAAACCCTGACTGTGTTTTGGAGAAACTGCTAGTGAAATACAGCTGTAAGCCATTTTAAATCCAGTTTCTGAAGACACACCTGTTCATAAATCACTGGATTAAACTCTTCGATGGAGGACGACAGCAGACCTGTGCAACAGATCAGTGTAAGTCTTTATTAAATGTTTGCTTATTTAAAACTATTCGTAATTTAATCCAGTGCTCATGCATTTCAACCTAAACCCAACTGAATGCAATCTTCAGTCTTCTGTTTAAAACATTACCTTTATTCTTCTTTTTCTTCCATACAGCCACTATAATCAATGGAAGTCCTATCAGGAGTAAAACCAAAGCGTCCGCAGTGATGATAATCACCAATGAACCTGAAAAACACCAGAGGAAAACACTGTCTGAAATACTGTAAAAACAGAAACAACCACCAGCACCAGAACAGAAACTGGTTTACAGAATGAATGAGTGAAAGTCTTGGATGAAATTAGACAGATATAAGACTTATTGAAAGTCATGTTGCCATGACAACCGTGCATCAGAGCTTTCACTTCCTGTTCTGATGAACAGTGTTACATTAAGTGCACTTCGTGTGAGATAAATATAGTGCAGAGGCGTGTGTCAGGTGAACAGCAGACAGAGTGTATATTAAAGAAATATGAAAGAGCAGAAGCTGATCTGATCTGGTGAGGAGATGTGATGATCTGTGATCGTGAGGGTGCTGGATTGAGGCTTCATGTCTGATGTGTTCAAATGAGGCGGCATGTTTGAAAATGAGCTCAGAGATTGATCTGAAAGTAAATATAGACTGAGCTGCTATACTGACACAATAAATATAGTAACTGGAAACTGGAAATGTAATATTAAATGTCCAGTACCTGGATGGAGGGTGGATGTTGAGATCTGGACAGGCCTTGTTTTCTGTGGAGCTGAGAAACAAGATCACACCGTTCAAATAAAACAAC